GTGAAGATGGGATTGAGCAAGAAATCAGGAAATTTCTCGAGCAGAAGGCCCAAGTGCACAAACAGGCACCCAGCTCTGCTGTGACTCAAGACGCTCAGGGTACAAATGAAATGGAGAAGGTAAAAGCAAATGAACCACAGATCGAAAAGAAACCATCGAAACTGTCTTTAAAGCAACGAAGAAAACACAAAGAGAAAAACATTTGTGTTTCCACCATGGCAGGGGCAGAGGACAGCGTTAAAGAAACCGCCTCTAAGCCTTTACCTGACCATACAAAAGAATCAAAGCTCTTGGCATTGCCCCAGAGACGTCAAACACACCCTGCCACTGGATTACACAAGTCAGACCAAAGTGGAGACAAAAGCAGCTCTCTTGACAGCGATGAGGACCTAGACACGGCGATAAAAGACCTTCTGAAAACGAAAAAGAAATCAAAGAAAAAGATGAGAGACTTAAAGCGGAAATCAAGGAAGTGCCTCAAAGACGAAGACCCGCCGTTAGGAAATGCATTTCAGACCAAAAAGTTACACATTGACTCTCTTTCCAAGTGTAGTGCTTTGAAAAAGGTGCAGAAAAGTAAGAATGACAAGAAAGACAAGCCTGGGCTGGGGAAAAAGAGCATTTCACAACATAAGCAAGTTTATAAAAGTAAGAAGCACGAGCTGCATGAAGGTGAAACGGAGATCCTGAAGGGAGCTGAGCGTCCAGACATCCAGTTTGTGCACACTGCGGAAGCTGCACCTCAGATTAAGGAAGACAGCAGCTCAGTAGACAGCGATGACAGTATTGAGCAAGAGATCCGAAGATTTCTGGCTGAAAAGGCCAAGGTTTCTACCGCGGACAAAATTAAAGATGGAGATATAGCCAGGAATGGTACTGTCACTATTTGTAGCTCATTTCAAGATAAAGACATTAAACAGGAAAATCAGCTGGCTGAGATTCCAACGAAAAGTATCAGTCCTCTCTCTGAAAAGTCTCATATTAGTAGTCCAGCTCATAATAGACTTCAGACACCGCAGACTGTTATTCCAGACATCTCTGCGGTCGGTGCACAATCACATCCCTCAGCCCAATCCTGCAGTCCCAGTCTTTTGGAACCAGCAGATGGGGCAGGGGCAGCTAGAACTGAGCAAAGGAGACCGTATATTGTTAAAGGTGATGTCCACAACGCCACCTCACAGACGAAGAGGGCTCGACCAATTTTGAGTCCTAGCGTCGCTCATTCTCGCTCAGAGGCAATCAAATGGCGCCAGAGCCTCGGACTACCTACTCACGACGCGAGGACTCTCAGTCGGACTCCGTTCCACATCACCTCATCTGAAATCAGCGAGGGTGGCTCGGTAACACATCAGAGTGGAGGAATGGGCCACAAATTACAGACTCCTGTTACTGTTTGGTCCTCTGCAAGGACCAGTAAATCACCATTCCCCTGTTCTAAAGACACTGCTGGAAATACTACATTCACATCTCCTGTTTTGAATTTTTTTTCTGCTGCCAGACAGCATCCGAGGATGTCCTTTACACGGGATCTACCCGCCGGCCAGAGGTCCCAGTGCTCCATCGAAGGGGAGAAGGAGAGTACGGTGCATATGCCCAAGGACAAGAGTGTGTTTGTGGAACTGGAAGCTAATAGGACAAATCACGTCCAGGTTCAATGCAGGGAAAGAAGCGAGGTTAAGGAGAGAGCAAACTTACTAAGGGAGAAGAAGAGCGAAGGCGAGGGTATGAAGATAGATAATAAAGAAGTGCATCTAGGAAGAAAAGAGGAAGAGTTTATAGATGAGACAGATTGTGAATCAGGCCAGAAAAGAAATCCAGAAAAGAAGCAGGGCTTTTCCACATTGTAAGTATTTTTTCTTTGACCACTATAAACAATAGTGTCATCATTTTCTGATTTCTCTAATGGTGTCCTGTCAAATATTATAGATTCTGATCGAGCTCATTGATTTATAAGGGAATGTTTATTGATTTTATTTTTATTTTTTTTTATCATAAAACCGACTTTTTTTTATGTATTTGTACAATTTCGCAGTTGTGGAACCACAATGAAAACTTTATATGTGCTCATAAGTTATCTGTCGTTGATCGTTTGAAAAGCAATACAGTGACACTTTGGTGCAGAAACGAATGAGCGGTAGAAAATTACATGTTCCTAAATATTTTTGCTAAAAAACAAAAAGGAAGACGTGACAAGGAAAAGAAGTCTCAGTTTGGCAGAATGAAGATTTAGGTTTGAGTCCAAAATGTTTAAAATTAGGTTGAATTTTTTTCCCATCTTCCAGTAGGAAACCCAGAGCCCTGAATAGTTACATTAGTTACCTTATTAAGACTTTAAAAGTAGTTTCCAACATCAAATTTAGGGATGTACCATTGGATAAGCCAGTACAAATCAAATGACACAGATGACATTGGTCAGTGGTTATTGTTTGTGTCTCATCAGGTTTGTATAAACTGTTTAAAAAATAAATTCCTGGACATTGGCTAGATTGTCTTTTTAAACAGTGGTCCTGGTATTGGTTTGAAATCTCACTGTGCATTCTTATTTATTGTAGTAGGTTTCCATCACTGCCTAGATTATGGTTTTCATTTATTTTACACGTGCAGGAAATCAAAATGGCACAAAGTTAAACGTCTGGGTGCTAAAGCTGCAGTGGTTAGGGTGAAAACATAAGTGAGACAAAACCCCGAAACAATCATTTTCCAAGCAAAAATGCCAAAACTTCCTAAAATAGGGTTATTTGCTGCATTTCATTTCTTTGTGTGTTAGGTAAGTGGGGTTTTTCCTCTTCAATGTCAAATAGAATCACTTTACCTGAGCTGATCAGTCAGTACTGAAAATAAGTTTTAGTTGTAGCCCCAAACAATATTTTTAACATGAAATTAAGGGCATAATTGTGTATCTAATTAAAAAAAAAAAATACCAATCAGATTTCAATACTGTTTAAACAAACCTTAAAAATATATTTAGACTAAAATACAAAGTAAGTGAACTTTTTGGTTTATTGGTTTATGATTCCTCTGAATTTTCTCATCTGTGTCCGCAATGACACAATTTACTTTGTTCAGCATGTGCTGCACTCTGCACAGTGTATATCAATAGATCTTTTGACACTTTCACAACCTTTTCACTCAAGTGCAGCAAGAGGGTTTTTATACTGTCAGCACCACCTTGAAAAGTCTCCTTACTTTCTTTTCTCCTTCTCACATTTGTTTTATTCTTTTAATCCCTTACCTCGGACTAATTCTGTGCGCTCTGAACGATGATCATTTCAGTCAGTTTCTACTTTTGAAATATAAAGCAGAAACAGCCACTATGTTTCAATTATTACTTTGACTCTTGTGAGCCACTTTTTTGGGTCGGGGGTTGTTTTATTTTTAAGATAAATATCATGGGTACAGGAACCAAGTTACCACCAACCTTTTGCTTTTCACACGCAGCGCTCTTCTTGTCTTTGTCTGTTCTATAATTGATTTTCATGAAAGAAAATTTAAAGCCGAGTTGCTGGTGATAGATTTTCTAGTAGTCTCGGATAAAGTCTTGCTCCAGATTCCATAAGTACCACATTTCCCCCTCGCTGTCTTGCTAAAGTTGATATTTTGTGTGGCTTGTTTTTTGTTTTGTTTTTTGTCATGTTAAAGTTTTCCTGGATTTCCTGTTTGAAAAAGGCTATTTATTTTTCTTTATGAAATAAAAAGGCATTACTGAACATGCTGTGCATATCCAGTTTTTCTGTAAATATTTTGTAAGAAGTGTTTTTTTTTTTCTTCTTCTTCTTTCTTTTACTCTTTCTGATGACAGAAACGTTTGCCGTGTCTTTTAAGTGCATCTGTGTAATAAAGATTGGAATCTGAGCAACAGTGGGCCTCTTGACTTAAATTTTATAATTTACGGAATTATTAAAGATTACTGCAGAAGTAGTCTGATGCATATCCTACTCTGCCTTTACCAGGTCTTTATCCAGTGCCATTGATCCCGGCATTACCTTCAGGCCTTGCATAGCTCTTACCTCAGAGGAGAGAGGCAGCAAGTTCAACAGGAGATACTTGGCTGAAAAGTGCAAGAAGGTACAATTATGTGGAAACACGACAGCATTTGTTTGTCAGTTACAAACATCATGATTTCAGTTCTTTATAAAAAAAAGTTCAAATCCACAGTGTGAAGTGTGTATTATGCAATGCTTGCAGGGGAAAACTTCCCTCATTAACTCTTCTGTGCACGGCAAGGCTGTGCAGCACGTCAAAAGGAAACTTCAGTTTGTTCCAGTAAGCGGGTATGTGATCGCACCCAAATGGTTTTGTCTCAACAGTGAACGATCAAACGCAAAGAAAACTCATCTGCAACTCGAGTTTCCTTGTTTGTTTGGTTTTTTGCAGGAAACTGGACACGCTCAGCAAGCTCAGCACACACAGTGAGATAAAAGCTGGCTTTTAAAGATGCACCTAGAAGATGCTGCCTGCTGTTAGAGTGTGTATGAATTGTTGAAAAACTATTATGGACCCAAGTGTTTATGTATTACAGTTGTTGTTGTTGTTGTTGTTTTTTTAAAGTATTTAGTAAGTATGTAAAGTTTTGGTAAGTTCTATAACAGTACTAAGGGCATTACATTTTAATTTTGGATTAAATATGGATCCTGAACTCAGGGATACCTTGAGTATTTCAGCATTTATCTTAGCTAAATTTTTCAATTTTTTCTCGAATGCACTGTAAATTTGATTTGGGGTTATATTGTTTGAGGTACCATATATTTGTTCTTATCCTCGTGATGCCACTGTTGTTTTTTGTTAGAAGTGGCGTCTATATTTACAAACATTTGTTCTATATTAACAGTTTTTCTTCTTACAACTAACATTGGTTTATGTTCTTGAATACGTTTCATAGCTAAATAACACAAGAACGGTACTGTCTGTGACGCTCCAACTATTTCAATAAAGTTGAGCCGAGAAAAGGTGGGTTAATGGGTATTGTAGTTTTTACACAAGCACATCACGACAAGCTTCTACTTTACGGCATTATGTGAACTACAATTGCGCAGTCGCAGTTTGCTGACCTTCCATGGTTCTGCAAGCATGGCTGTCCGGGCACTTACGAGAGGTAACTGAAAACAGTTTACAGTTTTTTATTTAGAAAATAGTTCAAGGAAAATATTCAGAAGATTTAGAGCCAATCCATCATTTTACCTTGTGTTTATTTCTGCGTTTAGTTTTGAGTTTCGCGTACGCTACGCTACAGTTTAGCATGTTAGCCCACAGCTAAATGCTCTATTACAATTAATGGCAATAATTGAACGCCTGCGCTAGGTTATTGGCAAGCATTATTCGCTTCATGATAGTTAACGACCCATGTTTTAACATTTTTTTCATATTTAGGCCTTTTAGGGTTCCGATACTCACGGGCTGCCACTGTAGCATCCCCCTGTGGTGGACATCACTATGTGACAGCACCGTCTGCGAAGCCACCTCAACCCCAGGCTGACGATGTTACAGGTAAGCTAAATAACGCAAGGGCGTCAACACTTGTTTTTTTTTTTTAAAGAATATTATTTATGTTACTACTTGTCATTTGTTGTTGTTGTTTTTCTTATTAACAGAAAAAATATTAAACCAGCCCCTCGAGAAAGCAGACTTTTTTCGTGTGGCTGAGCTTTTCTCCTTGAAAGACTTATTCGACGCCAGAGTGCATCTTGGTCACAAAAAGGGTTGCAGGCACAGGTTGGTGTGATATTTATCTCAGAGTTTTAGTGTGCTGCACCCCCGTATATTTACAAGTTGTTTGTAGTCTGTAATTAAATAAGCTGGAGACACTTGTCTTTCTTTGTAGGTCAAGGCTTTATAACTTCTACCATAGTGTTTTGGGGGGGTTCCTGTGGGGTTTAGGTATTCCCAACATGTGAAACTGATCTCACATGATAGAGGCGTGTTCAGTCCCTACTTGGCACATGTTAGATTTTAGACCTTCTGTCTATTGCTTAGTCTGTCTGCATATTATGCAATGGCTGAATAAAGTATAACTTTTTAAGCTTGAACAGTGTCATTTGCCCAGAACTCCTAGTGGTAGTCTCCTGTGGATAAAAAGTGGGGAGTTATTAATAAAAAAAAATATGCCATAAATCTTCATGCTTTAAACCCCTCTTTATTAAATTGGAAGTTTTCTGTTTGGTAACACTTCTGGTTATTAGTGGTAACAGCAAGCATAAATACCACAGGTCCTAAAACCTTGGAGGAAGCGATACAAACTTGTTGTTTTAATACAGATGGCATTTCTTTTAACTATTCCATAACTAACCTATTGTCATTAAATGCTTCTAACAGAAAGCTCCAGCAGCAGGAAATGTTTTGGTTACTTGGTCGAGCATTTCATCAGGAATTGTAGCTATTAGAGCTATGTTACTTTATTCAGCAGTAGTGATTCAAGTGACATTTTTCTGAATTGTAATTCCGTGTTTCTAGGCTCATGGAGCCGTATCTCTACGGCTGTCGTTTGGATCATGACATTATTGATCTGGACCAGACTATGGAGCACCTTCAGCTAGCCCTCAACTTCACCGCCCACATAGCGTATCGTGGCGGCATCATCCTGTTTGTCAGCAGGCGGCGTCAGTTTGGCCATCTGGTAGAGACCACCGCCAAAGATTGTGGAGAGTATGCGCACACGCGGTACTGGCAGGGCGGCCTCCTCACCAACGCCAACATCCAGTACGGCCCAGGAGTCCGCCTACCGGATCTCATCGTATTCCTTTCAACTCTCAACAACGTCTTTCAGCAGCACGTGGGCATCAGAGACGCAGCCAAGATGAACATTCCCACAGTGGGTGTGGTGGACTCAAACTGCAACCCCAGCCTGGTGACGTACCCCGTGCCCGGGAACGACGACACTCCAGCTGCCGTCGAGCTCTATTGTCGTTTGTTTAAGATGACCATCAACCGTGCCAAAGACAGAAGGAAACAGATGGAGCTCATTCATGGTCTGTCAGCGCCCACCTTGCAGATCTCATGATATGCTCTTAAATTTAAAAAAACAAAAAAAACAAGAGATGTTGAAAAGCCTACATTCTTTAATCTGAAGCTCATCAACTGTGTAGTGTATCCTGTTTTATGTTGATACACTACAATTTTGAAATAAATTTTGGCTTCCTCCTTCCATTACACATCTGCACTTGGAAAACATCTGGTTTAACGGTCAGTAAAATATGGCTCAAAGTTCACATTGGAGCAAATTTATGTGAATATCACAGCTGTAAATCGCTGAAATAAAATAGTGGTGATCCATTGTTGAAATCCTGGCGTGGGAGAGTGATGATTATTTGCAGTTGCAGACTGAAAGAAAAGTGTCTTGAGTCATTGTCACAACTGTATTTGCTCTGTTGCGGTCTATGTAAGTGTTTAGGCCATGAAATATGTTTCTGTAAACAAAAATACCTCTGCAGTTTCTGAAAGTGTACACTGAAGTAATGCCTGTTCATCTAGTTAGGAATGAAACGAGCAGGATTAATACATATATACATACACTGGAGGGATGCAGCATCATTTAAAGAAAAATGTATATATATAAATATTGAATGAAATGATCTGAAGCCTTGAGTCTTTAATGTGTAGCTCATCAGCTGTATGGTGTATCCTATTTCATGTGATGTTTGCGGTTTGCGGCAGTTGGTTAAGTTTAGTTTCTCCCAGCTTCCGTAGTTGTATCCTGTAGCGACCTTCTATGGCCACGAGGTGGATAAGTAGCTGTCACGTCAAAACGGTGAGTGGGTGTATGTGAGTGGGAAGAAGTTTATTAGCTTGCATTTTATGATGTACTACCACAACGGTCGACGTGTTCCTGCATATACAGTCGTATTTCAGTTGTTCGGTTGTTTTTAACCGCGGTCCGCAACAGGCAGTTTCAGGCTGACGCTCGCGAGCGCCGACATGTTTAACAAACATGCAGACTGACTGTTGGAGACGTCAAGAGCAATCACAATAGCAAAGCTTATTTCATTTCAAAGCCTTATTATTTATATCATTACTGCTGTTTAAAGTCAGTTATTTTTCTCGCACTCTGTGAAATACAAATCTTACACTCTAATACAACTTGCAGCCTTTATCCCAAATGCATTCCACATTATTACTTTAAAGCTTAATTCCCATCGTTTGATTCTGCTAAGTAAGCATTATTTTGTTTGTTGAAGTAAGATTTTTAAGCTAATCGGGGTAAAATAAAATGATCTTGAAGTCAAAGTGTCTGAGATTCAAACTCATACGATATGTAGGGCTCGTTCTTTTGCAGCTGATGGCGGGCTTGTCGGCCTCACAATTCTTGTGAAACTGTAACTAAATGTATGGGCAACAGTAACATATTAAACACGTTACTGTTTAAATAAACAATTTAAATAAGTTCTGCTTTTTTGTGTGTAAGTTCTTCCAGTCAACAATTTGAAGGCGAGGCAAATGTTCACATGAGTCTTAATAAGAGTAACGAAAACGTTAAGGCCACAGACAGAGGGGACTGGTCAGGGTAAGTGTTTTTTTTTTTATCAGGTTAGCATGATGGAGAAGAGTGGTAGGAGATAGGGATTTTAACACTAGCCCAGGCTTGTAATCTTCCTGTACAGTAACGGTAAGTGACAAACATTTGTTAGTCAAGGAAGTTATGAAATGAACTAAAAATTAATAAATAAATACTCACCAAAAATGTTTCAGCTAATTGTCATTTGAACGAATGACTTATTTCTTATTTGCAGATGTACTGTCCAGCTCTTGGAAAACAGATTTTAGTGAACCAACGAAAAACTTCCATTGGTATGTAAAAATATTTGCATCACTGTGATTTTAAATGGAATAGTTTCGTGTGTTGTTTCATATTTCTTTCATGTATGTTGTGTCTAACTTAATTTTTTTAACTGCTGTGATACAAGAATTTTGCAGATCTGGGATAAATGAAGCATATCTTATTTTTTATTTATTTATTTTTGTTTATATAGATAAATATGAGGAGAGAAGAGGTGCCATTGCTTTACCTCCATGCAGATGAAGGCAGTTGAGCTGAAGTGAAGGCCGTTCACAGAATGGTAACAGGTTTTGTTAAAAACTTTTGTCTCTTTATTGCCCCTTGAGACGCAACCCTGGCTCCAGTGCCTCTGTTGCGCAGTAAGTCGGCAGAAAGTAATGGGCTCTCGATAGCTCAAATCCACTCTTAAGTGGGCTTTGGGTATGGAACCGGGCCAGATACTTACTCTCAATCTACCATGAAGGTGTTGTGTTCCTGCCAGTCAGTAGTTATGTGCTATTTAAATCAATTTAACAACTCTACCTTTCTAAAGCTTATTTTTTGTATACATGGTCTCATTATGGATACATTAAGTCAGCTGTGTATCTAACAAAGTGGCTACTTAGTATATAATGAATATATTTTGAATGTAACAAATGTATGTATGTAGTCCTCATTGTCCATAAATGACAAAGAGAACTACATGACAGTTTTTGGCATAAAATTTTGAATTGCCTTTACAGTTAATTGGATTCAAATGTCAATATGAATGTTTCCATTATATAGATGTCAAGGTTTGCACTTTAATGGTTCAGACACGCTTGTGGAGCAGCAGCGGCTTGGCTTCAGGAAGGTACGAATTAATACTTTTGCTCTCATTCAGTCTGCCCATTGAGGCATTGCTGTCCAACATTTCTTGACCCTGTGACATAGTGGGACTAGGAGTCCAAATGTCTGCATCATCTTAGGCTTCAGTCACACTGATAAACCCCCTGGGTAACCAACACGAGGATATCAGATCATCCACCCCCAATGCACGATCTGATATCACTAGTGAGGGAAATGTCTCTATTCTGTGAATAGTTGCTGCGTGAAATTTGCTTCAGTTGCTAGCAGGTTATGTCAGTTGCCAGTAGTTTGTTTGCGTGCAAGATGCCAACTTGTTTGCAAACACCTAGTACTCACCAAGCAGCAGTGAACTGTGAAAAGTGAAACACAAACTAGAAACAGAAAACACTCACCTTCAAAGTAAATGTGTGTTAGTGTAGTGTGTCAGTTGCTGCAGTAAAGCACAGCTTTTACTTTGAAGGGCACTATTTTCTGTTTCTAGTTTGTGTTTCACTTGTCACAGTTTCCTTACTGCTCTTTGTGTCTTTCATAAAAACTACGGGTAGCCTATTGCTTTGGTAATTAGCCAAAACAGTCGCAAGGAGGGGGGTTTTTTTGCACAACCGTCTTTGCAGCCAATTTCACTTGACAGCAGCCAATAACCTCCAGCAACCAACCACCAAAGAGACAAACATTTTCTCCTTGTGAAGTACAACATACAGGTTTTTTGCAACCTGAGAAGTAATGAAATGCTTGTTGAAACTTGAAATGGACATAAACAAACTCCTACATGATTTGTCTTTGCAGGTGACTACCCAGTGTGCCTCAGGGTTGGAAACAATGTTATTTCCAGGAGCTTTAACGATTCACGATTCACTCACCACCTGACTCCTCCATTCAGCTTGCTCTCTCTTCATTTTTTGATTTCCTGTTCGAGTATTTCATCCGCCTTACTTCCATTACTTTGTTTTTCTTTTGCTTAACCGTTGAAGACATTGTTTTTTCAGTTGTATTTTTCATTTTCATTACGTGCATATGAAGCGTAATGTCCTCGTTGCGCGTAATCACATATGAAAGATTACTTTGCCAATTGCATTTGCGGTGAGTGCTATATCAGCTTTTATCACAATCAAATCACTCTGATGATCTTATGATAAAGGCCAGTGTTTGTGTGTGTCGATCCATTCCCTAGGAAATGATGATTTCCTTTCCTGTTTGCTCACATGTACAAACTGAAAATATGTAATGGAAGCTTTTACTTGACTACTTAGCTGGTGTAGAATTTGACATGCATGAAACAGAAAATGTAATAAAATAAATTGACATAAAATAAAATTATTTTCCTGTAAGTTGTAAAATGTCTGTTTTAAAAATAATATAGCTTAATAGGGTAGAGCAAAACAAACAAAAGGTTCAAAGAATTACTCATGAAAAGACTTAATTACAGAGGTATGTAAAAATTAGGAGCACTAGTAGCAAAAGACTGCAAAATTAAATAGAATTCATTGTAGTAAAAAACAAGGAAAGCAAATGACATCATGCATTGAAGTGGCTCAGTGTGAAGTGTAGCAGGCGGGCAAAAATGACTGCACACAGACTAATGTGGGATCAGTGCTGAACTTGAGGCAAGATCAGAAAGGTGTTGCATTATGTAGGAAAGATTGCCTGCGTCACTCTTTGTTCAGTTATGTTATGGTTCGCCAGCAAATGTCATTTCCCCACCTCTGAGAGTTGCTTCCACTTTTAGCACTTTAGCTCTACCCACTGCAAAGAAATCAATTCTTTTGACTTTGATTTTCTTTGAGGAGGTTTCACTACAAGTTCTGGACTCATGCAGCACAAAAAGCGACAAGTGGATCCATGCCATGCCCTCCACAATATGAAAGAGTCATTGAATCCCCTCAGTAGAGGTAAGCCAAGCAATCCAAATAACGATAGTGCAGATACCAACGCCGTTATTGGTTTTGGATCAAGCCTAGCATGAATGGATCGAATCTTTGTTTCTATCCTCTTATCCCTTTGGCAGGAAATCTATGCCATGACTTGTGATGTACGCATAAACTCATTTTAACCCTACGAGGTAACCTGACACGCACCTCCAAAAATGCAAAATGCAGTATCGACAGCACTATCCCTTCTCAGGGTTTTCCTTTAATTTGTCAGCCGCGCGTTGCAAGGAAGGAGGCGCGGTAAGATTTCCCGTCGGCGGATAAAATCCCGTCAGCGCTGATGCCTCTCCCTTTAAGATGCGCAGCTGCGAGTCGCTGGGAAACTGAGGCTGTGCGCTCGTCGGGTCCAAGCAGCGCTTATTTCTTTGTAATAATGATGCCTTCTTTGATCTGATTGGACGGTGAAGGTGCTGCTGGTCTAATATTTGTAAAATATTGGGGATCATAGCTGAGGATCTCTCTGATTCTGGGCCGCGTCGGTCGTTCTGTGGCCCCGATGGAGCTGAAATATCGCTCAGCTTCAAGGACACACTCTTCATCATATTTTTTGAGCGGCTGAATGATTTCTATTGAAAACACACGCTGTGATCAAGGCAAGCAAAGAGAAGAAAACAGCTCGAAAAGCAGCTCGTTGTAATAACCAGTAAATATGCGACGCGTGTCGTGGTTTGCTGCGAGAATGTGATCAGACGGGACTCTGGTTTCTCGCTCTGCTGCCTCCGAAAAAGAGTCGCTCATGATGCCTAGGGCTTTGCGGAGACTGGTCCATTTGATGCTGTTCTGTCCTTTATCCAAAGGCCTGCAGGTAGGCTATGGGACTGCACAATGTCAGTCTTTTTGTCTCTAACTGTCCACCAGCAGCATGCACGACTACTGACCAAACCGTCAGTTCACTTCACATGCATGCATGAAAACACACCACCGTAATAAATACAAGTGCAGCGCAATGTATGCTAGTTATCTCTGCGTTATCCTATAGTCAGGTGACAGGCTGCTGGTTCATTCATTGTTTACCTAGATACCCCAGAATTTTGCAGCCACGGGTTCACAGGTTTGCAGTGCATACAGGACTGTAAACGCATGATTTAATAACAGTACAAGTTGGATCATAAAAATTCTTCTTATGCTAATTCTGCTTAGTACTACACTTTTGTGTAGCATTACGTTTTGTGTTAATGCATGTGATGCCGCTCTTCCAGCAGATATCCTATTGCAGAGCATTCAAACCAGTGGTTCCCAGCTGCTGTTTGTAGCCCATTGTACAAAAATCAGTAAATAGAGATGCACAAATAGTGATAAGTCTAGGCTGATGTTGATATTTAAAAGAAGAATTTAACTCATAGTTCTGATACAGTTTATTGCTGTTTATTTCCTTATTTATCCTCCCTTTTCTCCCAGACATTTCCATCTTGTATTTTGGACATTAGACAGAGATGTGACAACACACAAACATCAGTCTAAATGTCATCTTATTTATCAGTCTAAAAAATACCAGTGATTGGCTGTATACTGGTACATCTCTAGATCTACAATAGGAAGTCTCTTCTATTCTAATTTACTTGTTTCTTTTAGATGTTTGTTTAAATGCAGTAAGTGGAAACTATTCAGTATTTCCAGAAAAGCAAAGAGAGAAGTAAGTTACTAAACTATTTCCCATTGCGGTGCTATAAAGAAGTATTTGCCCTTGGTTCTTTTTCTTTTTCTGTTTTTTTTTTGTTTTTGTTTTTTTTTTGCATATCTCTCAGACTTAAATGTTTTAGATCCATCAACAGTTTTTAATTTTAGGCAAAGATAACCCAAGTAAATACAAAATGCCGTTTTTAAATGATGATTTTATTCATTAAGGTAAAAAACGACTATATTTAGATGCTACAATCTAAAGAAACAAGAACAGGTGAGGAACAAAGTCACTCACATCTATCAGTTAGGAAAGCTTTGTAAAGCTATTTCTAAGGCTTTGGGACTTGTGTCCAGCATACCAAAATTACTCCAAGAACACATCAGCGACTCATCCAGGAGGTCACAAAAGAATACAGACCAACAAAAACAGAACTGCAGGCCTCACTTAACTCAGTTAAGGTCAAAGTTCTTGATTCGACAATCAGAGACTGAGGAAAAATGGCGTCCGTTGGTGAGTTCCAAGGAGATGGTAGATGGTGGTAGTGTGATGGTCTGGGGCTGCTCCAGGACTTGGACGACTTTCTATAAGTGATGGAACCACAAATTCTACTCTTGACCAGAAAATCCTGAAGGAGAATTTCCAGCCATCGGTTCGTGCCTTGAAGCTTAAAAGCACCTGTGAAAGGCTCAAAAAGAAAAAAGAAAAAAAATGTAGCTTTGGAGTTGCCTTGTTAAAGTCAAAATTGAGAAACTTTGACCTTCAACATGTCAAATGTGGCTGAATTAAAACAATTCTTCAGTTTTCTCCACAGTGACGTGCTGTGAAAGAATCATTGCTAGTTATGGCAAGCGCTTGATTGCAGTTCTTTCTGCCAAGGGTGAAACAGCCAGTTATTAGGTTTAAGGGGTAATTGCTTTCTCGCACAGATCCAGGGAGGCTTGGACAGTATTTTTCTCTTAACAATTGAAATCCACATTTAAAAACTGCATTTTGTATTTCCTCGGTTTGTCTTTGTCTAATATTAGAAATTGTTTAATGATCTGAAACATGCAAGTGTGACAAATCTGCAAATATAAATGTGCAAAATACAAAAAATCAGGAAGTCCTTAGTTTCATGTAGTTGAGTGTCTCAATTCCACCTTAAGGTTGGGTGCCCAGCTGTTCATTCATTCATTCACAGCCTGGGTTTAATTAGACTTCTTTTCTTCCTGCCATGCGCCCACTTTCTACCAACCTCCACAGAGTCGCCTTCCAGCTATTAAAGTGAAGTACCTTCTGCTGGCATGGCTGGGCATCCTCGTCATCAGCTGGATCGTCTACATGCAGTATGCCTCCTACTCTGAGCTGTGCCGTGGGCATGTTTGCCACATGGTCATCGTAAGTATTATCTTTGAGTTAAATAAAACTCAGTTACATGGCTTAATCGAATTCAAGCCTATAAATCAAGATAACACAATCACTGGAAAGAGCAGATCTTTTGCTTTTCCCAAGACAAAAACTAAAGAATTCAGAATAAAAACAACAGTATAAATAATAATTTCATAGGTTTTAAAAAGTACATGGCAAGACAGTGGAACAGAGGGACATGAGGTCTGTGTTTTGAGGAAGAGTGCATGGCCAGTGTCTTAAACTTGTGGTACCAGGGTGCTCTTACAGGACACAACCCCACTACCCACCCTTAGAATTGTAACATCAGTTTAACTGTTTGGTCTTAGCTCATTTGACTACAGTTTCACTAACCACATAACAGACAAAATGTGATTGTATGTATTTACATAAATGAAGAAAATGATTTCATACCATGCTAGTTTTGTGCTGCTGAGGTGAGACCCACAGATGTCTAGTTCCCTTCTGTTGCGTTCTGTGTTGGGGACTTGGGGGAAATGTGTCTCCTCGGTCAGGTGATGTCAGGTAAACTGCACATGGTGCTGGGCTCTTTGCTGCTTTGTGACAACGTACTGAATATAACTCAGTGAGTTACTCCATTCTGATGAATTTCATGCACACCACTTTACATGAGTAAGTATAGCATCCTTCTAGGAAAGAAGTAAAACTGGCACTCTCTGATTCCATATCCATGAAAAATGTCAAAGGACATAGCTGGAAATGGGCTTTTTTTCTTTCTTGTCTGCTAATTATAAAGGTACAAATAGTCATAGTCAGCATGCAATTTTTAAACTAATGGAGCAGTTTAAGATAAACTTAAGACTCATTTACTGGTTGTCAAGATCAATGTTTCTTTAGTCCAATAGACCTCTGGTATGTGGATGGGAAAAGCCAGGAATTCCACTGAGATGCTAACTAACCACCTGAACCCAAGTCAAGTGTTTTTCCTGGTGTCAGGTCCATATTTAGAGACACAGACCCAGCCTCAGGATGGCACAAGTTATTGTATTCCCAGTGTTGGTCCCAAGCTTGGATAAATGGGCGGTTTGCATCAGGAAGGGTAAGCGAAACCATCCAATGTAACTGAAAGAAGCTTCATATTTCTCGATGAGCCTTTTTTTTTTTTTTCTGTAAAACAACCTGTTGAAATCATGCATTCTCTCTGATTCATTAATCCATAACAGAAACATTGAACTTTAACGTTTAAGACACAGTCAGACAGACTTCAAGCATTTCACTGGTCCAGACCACTTAAGATCAAAGTGGGATGCATCTGGCCCACAATGTAAAGTGAGTTTGAAGCCCCTGATCTATGGCAGTCTGAGCAGTACAACCACACTAAAATGCTACTGGACACGCAGAAAGTAGAAGCTCTGCAATGACGTGTTAG